AAACCAAACTAAAATACGCCCGTACCTCCCTGAAACCGGTCGAGGCGCATCCCGTTGAAAATGTCCCTCAGGAGCCGGCTTAAAGGACACACGGAGACGAGGGAAAACGCCCGAAATAAGTAGAGGAAACGGCGGAGGGAGTCAACACAGCTCTTGCATATCAGGCCTAATTAGAAACCTGTAGTCTTAACGCAGTGCCGCGGGGACGGAGCTAAAACTACCGAGGTGCTAGGTGAGTGGCGGTCCCGGTCTCTCGTGGGACTGAACGGCCGGTGTTGAGGGAGAAGGAGAGGGAGGGAGAGGGAGGGAAGGAGAGGGAGAGAGAGAGAAAAAAGGAGAGAGGGAGGGAGATGGAGAGGGAGGGAAAGAGAGAGGGAGAGAGAGAAGGAGGGAAAGGGAGAGAGAGAGGGAGAGAAGAAGAGGAAGGGAGAGGGAGAGAGAAAAGGAAAGAGAGAGGGAGAGGGAGGGAAGGAGAGGGAGAGAGAGAGAGAAAAAGGAGAGAGGGAGGGAGATGGAGAGAAGGAGAGGGAGGGAAAGAGAGAGAGGGAGAGAGGGAGGGAGAGGGTGGGGAGGGAGAGAGAGAAGGAGGGAAAGGGAGAGAGAGAAAAGGAGAGAGGGAGGGAGGGAGAGGGAAAGAGAAAAGGAAAGAGAGAAGGAGGGAGAGGGAGAGGTAGGGAGAGAGAGAAGGAGAGAGACGGAAAGAGAGAGGTAGGGAGAGAGAAAAGGAGAGAGGGAGAGAGAGAGAGAGGGAGAGGGCGTGGGGGAATCTTGCGCTGTTTTGCATTTCTCTTTCGGTTGGATTCTCTGCTGCTGTTATGCTCTTCCTCTCGGGTTTTGTGTTTGTGTGTGTGTGTTTGTGTGTGTGTGTGTGTGTGTGTGTGTATGTGTGTGTGTGTGTGTGTGTGTGTAATATTCATATGTGCACACACATACATATATATACATAAACACATATGTGTATAGACATATATTTTTCCTTTGTGTTTATACCTATAATATTGCAGAAGAAAAGCACATCACAGGAGTAACAGAAACGCCATTTTTCCATTCCAGTTTTATTCGGTTTATTCAGGCAGTTTAAATATAGTCGCCTTTCAGTTTTTTCTTGAATAAATACAATTCTCAGAACTGTGTGTGTGTGTGTGTGTGTGTGTGTGTGTGTGTGTGTGTGTGTGTGTGTGTGTGTGTGTGTGTGTGTGTGTGTGTGTGGATTTGTGGGTCTACGTGCGCGTGTGCGTACATACACATGTGCATTCATGTATACATTGTCTGTGGGTGTTTAAAATACAAATGAAATTTCTAATTACCACTGAACTTACTAGTGGCCATTTCAATGACCTTAGAAGTGCCCATACCTATGATACAGCCACTGACCTTATTAGTGACCCGACTCATGACCTTAGCAGCCCATAACCAATGACTTTTCCAGTGCTCCTACCTCATGACATTCCCAGTACCCATACCCAATAACCTACCCAGTGCCCATGCCCAATGACCTTATCAGTGACTTTCCCAGTGTTCATGCACAATGACCGTATGAATGACCGTTTAAATGAACTTCCCAGTGCCCATATTCAATGACCTTACCAAAGACTTTACCGATACCCATGCCCAATAACCTTATCAATGATCTTCCCAGTACCCATACCCTATGACCCTACCAATACCCATACCCCGTGACCCTACCAATGTCCATACCACATACCCCATGTCCATACCTTATCAATGCCCAAACCCCATGACCTTACCAATGCCCATACCCCGTGACCTTACCAATGCCCATACCTCATGACTCTACCAGCGCCCATTACCCCTTGATCTTACCAATGCCCATACCCTATGAGCCTACCAATAACCAAACCCGCTAACCATATCAAATGACCTCCCCAGAGCCTATATTCAATGACCTTACCAATACCCATACCCCGTGACCTTCCCAATACCCAAACCATTACCCATACCCAAACAACCTAACCAACCTGACCTTACCAAGCAACCTAATCCCTAATAGCGACCTTGTGATTCTCCAGCAGGAAGATGTACCTCCCAAGGTCACTAACGTTGTGTTCCAGAAAATCCCGCTTGTGCCTAGTGGCGTTGGTCTCGCAGACGACGGGGAGGGACTGCAACTGGCGCTGCGCCTCCTTCAGGTTTTCCCGCAGGCCCTGTGGAGGTGGTGGTTGTTGTTGTTATTGTTGTTTTAGGTGTTGTTGTTGTTATTATTTTTATTATTTTTTATTATTATTATTACTTTTACTATTATTATCATTATTATTATTATCATTATTACTATTATTATTATTATTATTATTATTATTATTATTATTATTATCATTAATATTATTATTATTATTATTATTATTATTACTTTCATTATTATTATAATTATCACTATTATTATCATTGTTGGTAGTGGTGTTATTATTGTTGTTGTTTTTGTTATTATCATTATTATCAAAATTATATTATCATATTATCACTATTTGTGTGAGTGTGTTTA